AGAAAAGAAAAGAAAAGAAAAGAAAAGAAAAGAAAAGAAAAGAAAAGAAAAGAAAATTTGAACCGAATTTTTTCCTTTAACTTTTTTTAACGATTAACCGTAAATTTATGCAAATGATAAGTTAAACTGTTTTGATCTAGCTTGATACATCAGCGTGACACTATTATTCAAACACACAAATATTTATTCTTGGTTGATAGGATTTGCACGCGTAAGAGTTTTACTAGTATTTTTCAATCAATCTTGACAGTTTGCAKAGGGAAAATATCATATTACAGGAAGACATTATATGGTAATGAATCTTTTAGGAGACGGTTTATCAATGGTTTGTGATTTGAAGTAAGATGTTATTCGGTTGCACATGAATCCGACAATAAATAATCATTCTTTGAGAAAAGGATAACTTTTTTTCCTGCCATTTGTATTCCAGGTTCTGTACAAATAAAACATTTCATGCTTTGACTAAATTCAATTAAATTAGATAAGCTCAAAGCTTATAAAATTCTCTTACAATWTTTGGGGAAATCCTCAATGAACGCCTTGCCAAAAATATGTTTATAAGTATATTGAACTAATATAATCACTTTAACATTATCCACAATAGAATTAAAAAAGAATCCGGAACAGATGTTCTGTTTTTCAAAGAAGAAAATCGAAAACTAATTCAAAGACAATCAAATTTCGATCATACAGTATGCTTACCTTCAGTTTCAAGATCCGTGTCCCACTCATCATCGCTGTTGATCGGACTTTTACAAATGGTTCTGCTAACTATGGATTCATTCTCACTTGCATCTTGATTTTCCTGGTCTTCTTGTGGATTAGAATCTATTGATTCTTCGCTAATATCGTCAATCTAAATTGAATTAAAAAATTTTCAACTTCACTCTGTCACACCTCGTTGAAAACAAAGTGAAAACCCCTCCAGAAAAAGTCATTTTCTCTCTCTAACCTTTTTAAAATCTGCCGTTGTAGATTGATTAGAATTTGTTTCTTTTCCTTCTTTAGTTTTTACATCGTTTACCGACATAATTACCTTATTTTAAATAACAAACGATGAGTAATTTGATGTGTTCTGTTCACTTTAGACTTTCATTCAACTTCTTCATGGAAATCAACACAGCTGCTCGCCACCTCACAAAGGTTACTATAGAAACGCGCATTACGTTACCATGGGAACGAGAGTCGAAAGTGGATTTTTATCGCAAAAAATCATTTATTTTATTTTATTTCTTTATTTTGCATATTAAATGAACAAAGAATAGTTGCCTGATATTTTAAGATCAACTGGAGGTATTTTTTATTTTATTTTCCTCTCAGTTGTTATTACTAAAAAAATTAACTGAATACACGCCCTCCCCTCCAAAAAGAAAATACAGAAATGGAGGTGTTTTTATTTTATTTTTCGACAGCATTAAATGTATCAAAAAAAGCTTTAAAGTTTTCTTCGCCCTTGGAGTTATGGTCATCTAAGATCGCAAAAGAAATATGTCGATATCGGTTTTTAAATACAGGTTCTGAAAGTACTGCTTGGAATAACTTTGCTATGTGCCTTGGTGGATTTCTGAACGCACCACACCCCCAAGCAGACAACACGAGGCTATCATGTCCTTGATAAAGAGCAGTTGAAAGCATGATTCTCATTTTTCGTTTAACTTTTTCAACCATGTTAGGTGTTAACTGCTTCTCGTCCTTGGAGCCTGTACAAGGGGGGTTTGGGTATGCAGGGATAGCTATGAATGACATGGGAATTGGAGATGGAAGGAATGCATATCCTTGAGTTTCGGAAGCGCGAAATATCTGGACATTCGTCGAATAAACACAGCAGAACTCTGGGAGTCTGTACGTCCATTTTCGTTTAGGATCAAACTCCTTCTCTGGGTCAGCTAAGTGTTGGACGTAGTTTGTTCTTCGAAAGAGATTCTCTTCTTGGGCACCAGCACCAGTCAGGTATCCGCCACCTGAAAAAATTAGAAAGAAAAACTTAAATATTAAAAGCTTAAGGTTGCTATACAATACTCAGCGCGATACGTTTGCCAATAGTTTGGAAACCGCGTCTTTTTTCTACTTGTTTAACTAAGAGGGTATGCATCAAGACAGGAGAAGGGGCCTGGACTTTATTACAGTATTCTATAGCTAGAGTTTTTGGAATACAAGCAGGTTATCTGTATGTCTGTTTGTCTGTCCGTCCGAAGGTAAGTTAGATAAAATACAATGCAAATGTTAGTGAATAATACCTGGTCGTTTTGGAGAAGCCATATTTAGCACTGCTGGATTCAAGCCTTTATTCTTAAGTCTAATTGCTTCTTCAAGGGAATCGCTGTTCACAACTTTAATTTTAGTTTTAAATGAATCAGCACTACTTGATGTCGGTGGCTCTTCATCGTTGTACAAACGAGTTTTTCTAGCTTCACGAGACACACTTTCGAAGTCCCCAAAAACAACTTCTTTTCCATCTCGCAGTTTGTATCTAAAATTCTCACATGCCCTAAGAGTTCCCTCAATGATTTTCACTCGTTGAGGCCGATGCTGTCCTCGTTTATTGAAATTTTCTAGCCAAACTTCTGGATCAAAAACTTCGTCTTTATCGTCACTTTTTGATGCCATAATAGCGTTGATCAATGTTACTCACGACTGAAGTGATCTCAAAATTATCCAATTCACTAGAAATACTGTAAAGTGGCAAGTACTGACACATGGTGGTGCAACTACTACATGCATATGGTGGTGCAATAATTACAGATAAGTGACAGGCGTTCCAAGACACTTGAGCCTCTATTATCTCAATCAGCGGTCAATACCATTAGTCCCAGGTCCTCGCATGTGATTTTTTGTAAACCAACTTATTTCACACGTTTTTTTAAAATGGTAAGTAAAAATGATTATTTTTCAAGGTTTACGCACTAATTTAGAGACATTTGATTTTATTGAAAGGTTTATTTATTCTTCCTGCTAGGGAAAAGCTAAAAAAACGCGGAAATTTGCGGCTGTAAAGCGTCTAATCTCACCAAAAGACCCTCGAATGTAAGTCACATTGAAAATAAGTTGGATTTACCTCTCGACTGTTGCGCTAAACTTATTGCCTACCAATTCCTATTTCCTATTAGCAAAAAGAAAGAAGATACTACAAAGAAAAAGCAAGAAGAGGAAGATAAAGTAAAACATGTGTAAGTTCTATATATATTACAAAAATGGACTAACTATGTATTTGGAAGCATAGTTTGGTCATCAGCCACACAAGCCAGCTGTGTATCGTGGTCAAGCTACAGTATATAACTGTGTATCATTGTAGATGTGTCTGTGTTTTATAACTTTCATAATGTAGATATTGTTAGATGGTTGAGCTTCTAGGCTGTTATGTAGTCATTGATTTACATGAAGATATATGAAGATATATGGTTCATTCTCTTTAAATTGCAATGAATCATGAATCCTGACTACAATTTCGGAATAAATTCATTCTCTGTTGCTTGGTATCAGTCAGCTGGACAAATCTCATTACCAGCCTAGCAGTAATAACATGCAAACACTGCACGTCATGTGATATCCACAATAGACCTGTATTTAATAACTCATTCCAGAATGAGAGTTTGTACCACTTCATATTGTACTGGTATGCAATAATATATACCTGAACAATCGTTTCCTTCCAGAATGAAAAYCAGGATTAACTCATTCTGGAATGACTCSTTCCKGAATGAAAATTTKYTCTGGTATSATGTAAACAAATACAAATTAATATATGRCAACCGGGATGAACTTGTACTGAAATGAAGGCTCATTCTGGTATCATGTAAACAGCCTATTACTCATTAGGYACAGTAYATTATTTAATGTTATAATTTTTAATGTTTCCTTCAGAGAACAAGTATCATCGTCCATGTTTTTCCAGTACAATACACAGCTTGGTCCTCCATATTACATACTTGTCGATACCAACTTTATCAATTTTTCCATCAAGAACAAGTTAGATATTATGAAGTCCATGATGGACTGTCTATATGCTAAATGTAAGTGTTATAGGAATTGATAATCTTTCAATATSAAATATACAGTAAGTGTTTAGGCCAAACAAAAAAATAAGTTTGTTTCCTGTTGCATGAGAAAAATAATTTGGGGTTGGTAGGTCATGTTTTTTTTATTGATACAACAATGGAAATTAGCTTACTGGGAACCCTGTGGTGCAATTGGGAATGAAAAAAATATTAGGGTCGGCAAAAATTGGCAAGAAAATTAGGGTCAGTCGCGCAACAGGAAACACACTTATTTTTTTGTTTGGCCTTACTAGAAATGATAAGACTTTTTTACTCTGTCTAATGGGTTAGAGTGGTTTTCATAAACCCATGAAATACACCTTAGCATATTTAGCTATACTTCACTCTAATATTCTTTTGTTTTYTATTGTGTTTATCTGACTATTACACTCAAATTAGTATACTTTGTTTCATGGGTTGATGATAACTCCTCTACTAGCTTTTAAATAAAGATTTTCTAGTATCTCAAAACAATGAGCCAGTATTAAATAATGCATGTTATTATACTCATTTTATCTTGCCTCTCAGAACTTCCAGCCATGAATTTCTGATAGTGTGTGAACTTGATAAATGCATTATYTGTAGGTTTATTCAATCTGTAGATAAGACGTTTGATCATTTTATCCTGTTAAGTTCATTCAAGGTCATAACAAAAATTAAATGTTTGCTTTTGTTTTGAAAGCAGAATTAAATCTTTATTCTCACTTAACAAAATTTATAAAACAATATGTTTTTTGCATGATACCAAAGATTATCAGCCTATACAGTACAGCTCACGGGAATGTTAACATTTCACACGCACAAACCACATGTAGCACACTCGGTGTAGTACACTCCTACAAGTGTATTGCCCACAAGTACATTGAGTACACGATACTATGTGTAACAAATGACATGCAGCTGATTTCCTCATTACTTAGTGCCTTTTGTTCAAATCACAAGGATAAATAAATCGAATAAAGTAAAATAATTTTACAGTGAAAACAAAGTTTGAAATAAAAAGATAGTTTGGGGTTTTTAGTTTCATGAACCTGTACTGATAACGGCAAGCACATTTACAGCATTAACCAGATGAGTCAGCGTTGATTTTGATAATTTATGAGATCCCTCTCGTCCAATAATTGTTTGCTGATTGCCCAGCCACCAACATTTTTTAATGCATTTTATTTGGTAGTGAGGCTTTCACAGAAATTAGATGATATTCTTTCAGTCAGTTATCACTGTGATTTCAATGTCAGATCATAGTCTTTGAAAAATAGAAGCTCTAAAATTGCTTATTACCAGCTTTGTTTTTTCGTTTGTTTGTTCGTTTGTTTCTTTGTTTGCTTGTTTGTTCGCTTGTTTTATTTTGATTTTCATTTTATCTTATTTTATTATTTTTATTTTTATTATTTTTATTATTATTTATTTATTTATTTTTATTCATTTATTTATTTATTTATTTTGAATTAATTAATTTATTTGTTTTATTTAATTTTTCCTAAGCACATGTGAATTTGTTTAATTTAATGCGTGTGCACATATGCCATGGTTTGATCACGTTTTTCTTTGTCAATCGTAACATTTTTCATTTCCCTGAGGATGGCAGAGTATGCTGAAAGCTCGGATTTATTGTTTATTAAATTTATGGTTGATAAAACAAACTTTTATGAATGTAACAACAACCAACAAGGAACTATTTGATTTTATTACCAACTTTGTTTTTTAGGTATTCCATGCATCACTGATTGTGTGATGGCTGAATTAGAGAAACTAGGATCACAATATAGGGTTGCATTAAGGTAGGTATTCAACAAACATCATTATTTGAATCACCCTCCGGTTAGCTCAGTTCATTAGAGCATCAGTCCAACTGAGCGGTGAATGCAGCGTGCAAAGCATGAGTGGACAAAATTACTGGCCCTTAGCATTTTTGGAGCTTAAAAAAATGAAGCAAACATGACAGTTAAGTGAAATTGTTTTTATTCTCTCTTTCAATATTTTTGCTTTAAAAAAAGCAACAAAAAAACCCAGAAAAATACACAAAAAATGGGTTACTGTACAGTAACCTGGGAATGAGGGCCAGCGGCAAAATAGCTTAATGAGCTGTGATTGGATGGAACAAAATTTACCGCTCAGCTGGGTCTGTTGTGAGGGAGTTTGTTGTTTAAGTCCTGGCCAGACCAGCAATCAGGGTATTAAAATAACTAAAAAGCTAAAGAGAAGGTGCTGCCTTTGTAATAAAATCTGAAAATATTTAGACCACAGATGACCATGGCATGGCATCCTGTCCCTAATCAAGTAGAGTTTTTTATGTATTGGTTCTTATGATGATGATGTTGATAGTGATGATTCTGCTGATGATAATGATTATAGTAGTGTAGGTGATGATGCTGATGCTGATGCTGATAGACATGCAGGCAATTAGCATTCAATGTACAATACAACATGCGAGTACTACACTAGCTGTTTAATGTTATTGTCACGGTACCTAATAACACATAAAATCATGTATTTTCATATTCAGGATTGCCAAAGACCCTCGATTTGAAAGATTACCTTGCATGCATCAAGGAACTTATGCAGATGACTGTTTGGTTAACAGAATTAGTCAGGTACTTGGATATTATTTC